GGACCGAAACGTCAGCTTTCCTGCTCCTATGATGCTGCTTGGCCTGCTGTGTTCATCCAGCTCTACACCTAGTTATCTCAATACACAGAAGAGTTGTTGATGACTACTTGATACAGTCTCTTACCAAGACCAGGAGAGGATGAAACAGTTGTCTTTCACTAACAGAAAGCCTATGCCTGTCACAATGTGCTGTGCTACACAGCGATGTGATTTACCAAGCCAGCCTGAGAGAGATCACTCCAGCTTTATAGCAGCATAGGCATATCCAATCATTCTCATTTTAATTCCAGATGTAGGATTATTTAAAAAGAATCATTACAAAGTGTGTTTTCTAGTAAGAAATGTAGATCCTCAGTATGAGTTCAAAGGGAGATGGAGACTCCATTTGTGCAGTTTTTTAAAAAAAAGAATCACTACAAATTCAAGTTTATGATCATGAAGGGTAAATAGTGCATTGGTCAGCAGGGAGGCCTCTCTGGCACTGAGCAGAGTGACACAGAGTAACACAGGCCCTGTTCCACACTGGCAGCCTGCCACAGTCCCTGGTGGTGTGAGGAAGTTGGTGTGGTTCACAAAGCCTGGCAGTATCTCAGGGCCCGCAGTGAGGTGGCAGCGGAGAGCAGATTCCAGGCTGATACCCTGCTTGCCCTCACTCTCTACCAATTGTTGGTCCAGCAAAAGGCTGAGAGTGATCACATTGTGAAGCAGCTGATGGAGGGTAGATACAGGGATCCACTGGACAACAGTGTGGGTCTCAGTGTCTGCAGCACCTTCTTACACAGTGGCACTGCCAGCCTGACAGTTGCCATAGCCTGGCACATCCTCCACGTCTGGTGACGTCCCAGTCACAGCACTCAGCATTCCTCATCCTGGTACAGAGGCTCCTCCATTTCCTGGCACTCGAGGTGTTCAAGGCGATCAGACCGACTGTTCACAATCTCATCTGGAGTTTTCATGAACCTGACAAACAACAAGGGGGACAGCAGCATGGTTTAGGCAGGAAGCAGGAGCCTCACATACCCCCAAGTCCCTGTCTGACCCTCCCTGAGACCCCCAATCCCCAGTTGGCCCCATCCCCCCAATCCCTGTCTGCCCCCTCCCCGTGATCCACAATCTGTATATGCCTCCTTCCCCAGCAACCCCACTGCACCTCCAGAATGCCCCGCCACCCCTAAGATATTCCCACCTACACCAGACTAGTCTCTCCACCCAGCTGGGGGACCCCTCCCAGACCCACGCCCCACTACCACCATCCACCTCACCCCCGCACCCCCCCACCCCACCCCAACTGGTCATTACCTGAACAGGAGTCTCTGGCCAGGCTCTTTCTTAATGATGTTGAGTTTGTAGTAATGGCGGAGAGCTCGCGACATTTTCTCATACGTCATGTTTGTTCGGTTCTGTTTCAGACAGAAGCTCAGGTCAGTAACTGACACCAATACCATGTAAACATGAAGCAGACAGAGAACCCCACTGCAGCCCCTTGTTTGCAGGAGAAACCTTGAACACTCCATCCCCAGGGAGTGGGGGCAGGGAGGGGTGGGTTCATTGTGGCCAACAGCTTAGGAATATTCCAGAAATAGACCGACCTTGTGATGTCCGTCATCCTCACCATCCCATTTAATGGCAGTAACTCCCAGGCACCATGTCCCATTCTCATCACTGATTCGTGTGAAAATGTGATGTGGCCCACATTGGTACAAAGAATAGAAAATTCAGTTCATCCCTTAACAGAGCAAGTCTGCAAAAAACAGACATATTGAGAGATCTAGGTGTCCTGTACACAAATCGCAAACCATTAGCAGGCAGACGCAGCAAGTATTTGGGGAGCAAATGGATTGTTAGCCATTATTGCAAGACAGATGGGTATTAAACAGGATAAGTCTTGCTACGACTGAACAGAATACTGGTGAGACCATACCTAGAATACTGTGCATTTATTTAGCCTCCTAACCTAATCTTATGCTTAAATTGGAGGCAGTTCTGAGAAGGTTCATGAGACTGATTCCAGGAGACAAAGGCAGGTCTGTTCTGTAGAAAGGTCAAACCTCCTCAACCTATACTCATTGGAGTTGGGAAGAATGACAGGCAATCTTAGTGAAGCATACAAGACCCTGAGAGAACTTGTGGGGTGAACAGGAGAAGATGTTTCCCCTCGTGGGGGTCACATTTTAAAAATAAAGGGTCTCTACTTAAAGATGAAGAGAACTTGTTCTCTCTGTGTCAGTCTTTGAACTTCTCTTCCACAGGACACAGGAGCTGGCTCAAAGCTATTCACATTCTCAGTGCCTTCATGGTTCAACATGGTTTCCCCCTCAATCCACCTCACCTGGGTTCTCACTCACTTGAGGATTATCAATGAGGCACCACGCACTGCACTCTTCTGGCCGAGCCTAGAAAATTAAACTGTAATGGAGAATTTGAAGACTTGGCCATCAGAGATCTATAGTGCAGAAGTCGGCCCTTTGGTTCACTGAGCCTGTGCCAGTCAAAGCAACCACCTAACTATTCTAATTCCATTTTCTGGCACTTGGTCCATGGCTTTGTATGCTTTGGCATCACAAGTGCACATCTAACTACTTTTTCAAAGTTATGAGGGTTTCTGCCTCTACCACACTTACAGGCAGCGAATTCCAGATTCCCACCACCAACTGAGTGAACAAGTTTTTCCTCACATTTTCTCTAAATCTTCTGCCCCTTACCTTAAATCTATACCTCCTGGTCATTGATCACTCCACCCAAACAGAAAAGTTTCTTCCTATCTACCCTATCTATCCCCCTCCATGTTATACATCTCAATCATGTCCCCTCTTAATCTCCTCTGCTCTAAGGAAAACAACCCTAGTCTGTCCAATCTCTCTTCATAACTGTAACTCTCCAACCCAGGCAACCTCCTGGTAAATCTCCTCTGCACCTCCTCTCTAGTGCTATTACATTCCTCCTATAATGTGGATTCCAAAACTGCACACAATACTCTAGCTGTGGCCTAACCAACATTTTATACAGTTCAAGCTTCCCTACTCGTAATCTTTAATTCTCTAAGCCTTGATTAATCAAGGTAACTATCTCATCTACCTTCTTAACTACTTTATCTAACTGTCCTGATAAATTAAGAGACCGGTATACATGCACATCAAGGTCCCTCTGATCCTCAGTACTTCCCAGGGTACCACCGTTCATCACGTATTCCCTTACCTTGCTCGTCCTGCCAAAGTCCATCACCTCACGTTTATCTGGATTGAATTCCATTTGCCATTGACTAACTGTCTATATTCTTTTGTAGTCTAAGGCTCTCCTCCTCACTACTTGACAGCCCTCCAGTTTTTGTATCATCTGTGAACTTGGATTGTAATACTAAAAGCAAATTTGAATGTAGAAAGGTTGCTGAAGATTGGATATGGTATGGGACAGAATGGATAATGACCGAGAAGGTGAATGAAAGGGCTTTATAAACAAAATAAAAATTCTAAATATTCATTTGGGGACGTGAGCTTTGCTGGCTGGCCAGCATTTATTGCCCATTCCTACTTGCCTAAAGAAGGTGGTGGTGAGATACCTTCTTGAACCACTGCAGGCCTTGGGGTGTAGCTAGACCCACAACACTATTAAGGAGGGAGCACCAGGAAGTTTAAAGACCATTTTTCAAACATTCTAGTCAACACCCAGGGCAATTAGGGACGCACAATAAATGCTGGCCTAGCCAATTGGGTGTTAAATGGAGTGTAGAAAGGAGGCATATAGTGACTCCTGTGTGCAACGTCAAGAGAAGGTTTGGATTCAGCTTTTCAACATCATTCAAAAGGTATCTGAATGAGCGATGTCATCATCAGCAATGGGAGCCGGTACCAGAAGGCCCTTGAGGAACTGCCTGAGTGGATGGGTTGAAAGAGCTTCCTCATAAGGTTATAAAGCTTCAAAACAACAAGGTAAGAAACTGACAGACTTCTTTAGAACAGACAAAGGACACAATCTCAACCAGCAGAAAAAAATCTGGGGATGCCAGAAATCTGAATCTAAACAGAAAACGCAGGAGAAACGCAACAGGGCTGGCATCATCTGGGGAGAGAGAATCAGAGTTAACGTTTCGAATCGAGAGCCTCCCTCAGAACTGGGAAAATTTGGGGATGTAAGAAAGTAAATGAAAGGGGAAGGAGGGAGAGGAGTGGGAAAGCATGGGTTGGAAGACAGGAAAGGTTAAATGACAAAAAGGATTCATGCTGAGATCAAGTAAAGAAACAAAGAAATGTATCTCGATGATGTGTGAATAGCAGAACAGCAGCTGCCCAAACACAGAGTGAAGAAATCAAGTGGGGTGGGGGAGGTGATTGGGGAGAGAAAAAACAGATTGAATGAGCAAAAATAAACTCACACAAAAAAAAACAAGTAGATATTACTGTCTAAAAATTATTAAATATTGAGTCCCAAAGGCCATAAAGTGCACAGTCAAAAGACGAAATGCTATTCTTCCATTTAAAGACTGGAGCAGGTCAAGGACAGAGGGGTCAGATTAGGAGCAAGGTGAAGAAAGAAAATGACTGGACACTCAGGCTCATCCTCGTCACTGTCATAGATCTTTAGGAAAGGTGGTCACCCAGGCTGTATTCGACCTCCCCCAGTGTAAAGTTGATCACATTTCCAGCTGTGTTAGATCTCCCCAATGAGAATAGATCACAGCCCCCAACAATGGTAGATCTCCTCAATATACAGCAGATCACAGTCTCTCAGCCTAGGGTAGATCTCCCCAGTGTAGAGTATTTTGCAGTCACAGACTGTCGTAGATCCCCCCACTGTAGAATGGATGATATCATAAACAATGAATGCCGTCAACTAGAGTAAGATCTGGATCAAAAAAAAACAAAAATAAACAAAAAAATCGCTGATTGACCTGGAAGGAGGGTTTTGGACTTGGGCAGGAATGAGAGGAGCTTGAGGGGCAGGTTCTACAACCATGGGAAGGTGCCGTGGAAAGTTGGTGGGGAGGGGTTGGAGAATGGACCAGGTTGTTGCTGAAGGAACATCAAAGGGCAAGGCCTTGAGAAAAGCAATGGTGGCGGCAATGACAGAGGATCATGTACTGGATCAAGAGGTTGTTAGACTGGAGGTGGAGAATGACAGGAATGCTCTGATGGCTCCGGGAGAAACAGGAAGTGATTCAAAAGGCAAAACACAGAGTCAAGGACCTTCTCAACCATGACAGGGTGGGTCTTCATTTGAGGAAAAAGGAAGAGCCATCAGAGACTGGTACAGAAGATTTATCACCAAAGCAGACATGATGCAGTCAGAAAAACTGAGAGGTTGGAAGGAAGTCTTTACAGGAAGCAGCATTTGAGGAATTGTAGTCCAGGGGCTCCAGTTTATCATGGATAATCCATGGACTCATAGAAACAGAGAAGTCAAGGAAGGGAAAGAAACAGTCAGAAACGAAGGTGAAGGAGAAAGAAGGACGGAAGTTGGAGACAAAGCCAGTGACATTTTCCATTTCCTGTAAGGGATGGTACTGGAAAACGAAAGCATGGGGAGTCCATGGTTGGGAGTGGAACAGGGAATGTTCTACATAGCACCCATCTCCACCCCTCCCCGTTCCCCACCCCATCCCCACCCTCCAAAACAGCAGCAATGTTTAAACCCTGGAGGAAACGTCTGCAGTTTGAGACAGAAATTCCTGAGAGCAAGAACAGCCAGGAGGAGGTGGAGGAGGTACAAGGGTGCTCTGTGAGGAGGGGACATCTCCACAGGTGGGCCAGTCAGTGATTGTCCTGGAAGCAATCCTTGATGTTTGATGGTGGGAAAGGGAGTGTCAGAGAGCCAGTGGCCATTCCATCAGATCTTGATTTACAGCCCAAGATCAGAGAGACTCATTAACGTGTCTCCACTCAGGACAATCTCTAAGACACAATCATTCAGTAACAGGAGACCCAACGACATAAACTAGCATTTCCTGTACATGTATACGTACACATACACACACACACAAAAGGAAGGCTAATTGTCCTCTATACTCCCCAGTCCATAATCCCAAGTCTACACACCCAGCTCCCCTACTTTCATCTCCCCGTGCCCCACCCCAAATATCATCTACAGCCCTGCCTCCCTGCACCCCAGGTTCCCTGTGCACACCCCTCCCCATCTCACCTGTCCTGCATTTCCCCATTTCGCACCCCCCCCCCCCCCCTCATCCCCCCCCCCCCTCTCCTTCCTCCATCTCCCCCTGTCCCCCATGCCCAGTTTTCCCTGTTTCCCTCTGTCTACCCCTCGCCCAGTCAGACTCTTTCAAACATTGCTGGAAAAGCTCAGCAGGTCTGGCAGCATCTGTGAAGAAAAAACAAAATCAGAGTTAACGTTTCGGGTCCAGTGATCCTTCCTCAGAGTCCTTCGACCAAACGTTTACTCTGATTTTTGTCTTCACAGTTGCTGCCAGACTGATGAGCTTTTCCAGCAACTTCTGTTTTTATTCCTGATTTACAGCATCCGCAGTTCTTTTGGTTTTTGTTTCAAACATTGTTCAGTTTTCTCTCAAATCCTCCATGAAGAGGCCAGTTAGTTCGATCCATTAACTGTTGTGACACATTCATGCTCAGGGTTGACACAGGCCAGGGGGTGGGGAGGGGGGCGCCATCACAGACCCAGGCTCCCTTCTCCCAAGTGAGCACGAAACACGCCCTTACCTTGTGGTTACCCCACAACCGGGCCAGGCCATTCGGATCCACAATTCGGAAAACTTTGGATTCGTGGTCCTCCCATCGGATGAAAGCTTCATACCTGCTGTCTGAGAGCAGCTGGTAAACGTAGTCCCACAGCAGCCGGCAGTCTAAGGGGTCAGCCAGAGAAACATTGCTGATCTGTAACATTTAACCAACTTGCTTCCAGGATCTGGGCTAAACTCCCCCTCTCACAGGGCACCACCTCCTGACCGAGTCAGGACAGGGTGGTTAGCATGCCCTGCTCAGAGCCAAAAGGGTATGTGTCGATGACCCCCCCCTTATATTGAGACAAGATGCCAAATCCAACCCCTTGCTTCCTCTTGTAGGTCTGTCCCTCAGATGAGCCCCAGTGGGTGTCACAGACACGGGCGCCCAAGTGTATGCCTGCTATTTATCCCCTGATCCACATCTGAAGGGTTTATCTTCACACTGTGGGATCTTGCTGCGTTAAAAGCAGTGATCAAATTTCCTACATACACCAGTGACTACGTTGAGGAGGAGCAACGCTGAAGAAGGCAAATTTGCCCAGCCATACCCTTCACAGCAACACATGTGGCCACTCCAGGTGCAGATGTGAGGGTAAATACAGCTGATCAGCTCAGTGAATCAAGTCCCTTCAGTATGTGGCAGGTGTTCCCCTTGGAGCCAGACTGCTCCTGGCCTTGCTGCCATCTTGGAGACATGGGGGGTACTCAACATTGAAAGGGAGACCATATCCTGAATGGCACCAACATCGAGGGCCAGCAGCTTCCAGAAGGCGGAATGGCCAAGCAGCCAGAGGGAGGCGAGAGCTCCCCCCTCCCTTGCCCCAAGACCCCACCCAAACACCATTCTCCTCCCAACCTCCAGCCGAGGGCAGCTCACCTCCACGTGTGCAGCCACACCCCAGTAACACAGAGGAGCAGGAAGCAGGCAAGAGGCACAGACGGAAACATGGCCATTGTCTGCAGGAGGACACTCTGAAAGAGATTCAGCTCCTTCCAAGTCACTGACAGCAGAACAGCCTCAGATCCCTCAGCAAAACTGCAGAGACCCTCAGCAAAATGCTGGGGAACATTGTGCCCACTGCTGGGGGAGGAATGGGAGGTGAACACTCACTCACTGCAGACCCCATCCCATCCCCAGGTTTGGGGGTTGAATTATCCGTCTTTGGTCCTCTGTAGGATGGCAGGGTGGAAATACCCACTCTGCTGTCAGGGTTGAATTCTGGCAGGTAATGCCCTTCACAGTACCAACCCCCTCCTCTCTCTATCTCCCTGGTGACTGTCCTCAGCTGGCGATTGAGACTGTGTGCCTTCCTACCTGCAATTCTGCCCAGGGGTGTCAGAGGCTCCTCTGGGGCTGGCATGGGAATCATCACATGGTTACGGTATAACAGCTCCTCTCGGGATAGGTTCAGAGGCCGCTCCTTGTGAGAGTTCCGGTTGGCCATTCTCGAGGCAAACTCTGTGGGCTGTCGGCCAGAGGCCATCAGCGGGTTCATCGTGGAGTTGGAGATTAACTGGATAACTCGGGAGGTGTCTGCAGCAGGGGACAGATTTCTCCTGGGAGTTGGCAGTATGCTGTCATTGCCTAATGGACAGTGGTTCTCATCCACAGGTGAGATGGACAGTCTTTGCTCAATGTCTGGTGAGGAGTTGTGCGTGTTCTCTGCCTGCGATGCAGGGCTCGGGTTCCTCTCACACGCCGGAACGAGGCTCTGTGCATTTTCCAGCTCTGTTTCCGGAGACGAGTGGCGCTGGACACCAGCTGGAGACCGGACCAATCTCTGGAGTGGTGCCAGCGAGGGCGGATTCCTAAGGTTCCCCAGCTCTGAGGGCCGGGCGTTTCTGTGCAGCAAGTCTATGGCAGGAAAGAGATGGTCAACATCGGCACCGGTCAACAGGCACACCCAGTTAGAGCCCAAACAAAAAGAGAATTCAACCCTAGCACCCAGCTCTGCCAACAACCCCTGGAGAGCATCGGCATCCACAAGAGGGTGGAGGACCAATTGAGGGATTCAGGGAAAAGGGTAGGGAGAGAATGAGGAACATGGTGATGACTTGAGGGAGGGACCTAGACCAGCGGCTTCGGATGAGAGCAGAGTGGGGGTAGGGATTGGCTGGTATGGGCAATCTTGTTATCAGGAACAGGGGCGGGTACAGAGGGACTGGCATGGGGGTGGAGAGCCTGGGTGCGGATAGGGCCAAGTGTGGAGGGCGGAGGGAGGTATAAACGTAAATAGTGTAATTTACCCTTGCTTCAACACAAAACAAGCCTAGGGCTGAACAAAACCACAGTTAGTTAGTTAATCAGGTGACTAGCATGAACTGGTTCCCTAAGCTACAGTGACAGACTGAGCTCACTAGAATCTGAGCTGGTTTATTACAGGAGGACTCACAGACACACAAAGTAAGTTACACAAAGGAAGCAGCTCAAGACCTCAAGGGTCTTTTCGAAAAGGAGTTATCCAAGGGAGGGAACAGAGGCAGTGAGGTATGACAGCTTCAGCTCAGAGGCAGTGACTCGGTGAATTTTTATTCGTTTCCCCTCCAGATTGCGGCAGCACTTGAACTGGAGCTGGGGAGACATTAGCATTGTATAAAATTTAACCAGCAAACTAGTTAACTCCCATCATAAGAGCTCCAGTATTATCCCTTCATTTATTCATTCATGAGATGAGGACATTACTGTTGCCCTGTAGACAGTCCCCTATCTCTAACAGCCCTAGAAGGTGTTGGTGTGCTACCTTAGGACAGGAGGAGGCCATTCAGCTCATCAAGCATGTTCTGTCATTCAACTGGATCCATGACTGATCAGTTCCTCAATGCCACTTTCCCACAATATATCCCTTCCCTTTTCATGTCATTAGTCTCCAGAAACCTATCAATCTCTGTCTTGAACCTACTCAATGATCAAGTTTCCACAACTCTGGGGTACAAGGTTTCAAATTCCAAAGATTCCCCACCCTCCAAGTGAAGAAATTCTGCCTCTTCCCCCTCTTTAACTATGCTACTCGTTCAGCATTCCTCAGGGGAATATGTCTAGTCTTTATCGGAATTCTCTACTCTTTGAACCTTCCCCACTTCTGTCTTTAACTTGTCTCCATTTTTCTGAGTTAGTGTGAGTTAGCTTTAATTTTATCTGACTGAAGCAAGCACTTTCTCATGGGTCTGCCTGAGTCTTAAACCCTTTCTCCTGCTTTATGAGAAGCACAATTTTACAGGCATGCTGGTCCCTAGATGTTTTGCTGCTCCTCCATTTTCCAAATCTCCCTAAACATTTCCTGGAGTTAGTTCCCCACCACCTCCTCTTTTTGAACTTAAACACAGACTAATCCAGAAAGTCTATCTTTGAATTCCTTCGGTGAATTATGTTTTTATTCCTGCTGCTCTCTCTCTCTCTGTCTCTCACCTACATATCCCTCCCTCCATTCCCTTCCCATCATGTGTTCCCAAAACATAAACTCATCAACTCTAATCAGATTTCTTTTCTTTGCAGCTTCCTTCCCATTCCTGCATTCTTGCCTTTTCCCTTGCTCTGTCTCTCATTTGTAACCAGGAACATTCAGCTCCTGGGCCTACCTTATTCTTTATTACACGCCCCATTCCACCAGGAGAAACAGTGCCTCTATCACACCAGGCCTTCATTACAATATCTTGTGCCTTTCTACTTTTTTATTAAACTGAAAATAAAGGGAAAGTAAAGTTCTCTCAACACCATCTCCATCAAACACTCCCAGGATATGGACAGCACAGAGTTCTGCATTACTTGGTTTAAACCTGCCTGTTTGGCCATCACACTCCATCCAATCCATTCTTCCTTGTCTCACATCCCTTACAGTTTACCTCAGGGGCAGGGAGATTAGGAAGAGGGCAATCAGGCATTTACATGAAGGAATCCACAGCAATCCAACAAAATTGGCTCGGCCACAGGAAGTAGAGGGCTATGTGTGATGGCAATGTAGCTGGATTGGGATGGCAATGGCACAGCAGGAGGGCACACAGGGTGTGTTCAGGGTTTATACCAGTGACTGGAACTTGAATGTATGGGGTAAGATTGAGGAGACTCCAAGCAGTGCAAAGATTGACCGCGTGGATAATAACGAAGGAGAAAGCTGTCAATGGATGGTTCAGATTGGCAGAACAGCAGAAAGATGGAATCCAGGAGAGAGTGAGGAAATGCATTTGGGGGAAGGCTAACAACACGAGGGAATGAGGAATAAATAGGAGGTTATTGGGAGGAACAGGGGAGCAAGTGGGACCTTGGATTTCAAGTTGACAAATGCCTGAAAGTGGATGGGCAGATGGATAAAGTGGTTAAGCAGGCGGACTTGTCTTTATTAGTGAAGGCAGTGTATACAGGAACTGGGAGGTTGTGCTAGAACATAGTTAGGGCACAGCTGGAGAAACCACACACAGTCCTGGTCCTCACTCTACAGGAAAGATGCGATTGCATTTAAGAGGAGTTTTACAAGGATGCTGGTGGAACTGGAGAATTTAGAAAGGAAAGAAGATTGGATAAGCTGAGGCTGTTTTCTTTGCATCGGAGGAGGCTGACGGGAGATTTAATTGAAGTGTAATAAATGATGATGGATACAGAGTGCATTGGAAGGATCTATTCTCCTCGGCCAAGGGGCCCATAACCAGGAGGCAAGAGGTAAAAGTTCAAATGGGATTCAAGGCTTTCAGCCAGACGGTAATAAGGACCTGGAACTCATTGTCTAAAAGGGTAGCAGAGGCAGACACACTCACTACATTGAGAAAGTGGTTGTAGATTTATAGCTCTTGTAAGTTAGGTACTGATCCAAACCTACAAACCAGGAGCTGGAAAATAGGATTAGGCTGAAAGGTTTGTTGTCACCTAACATGGACAAGATGGGCTGAATGGCCTCCTCCCAAACCACAGAGAATACGGAATTTAAACTAACAAGTAGCTAAAATGATCAGCCCACGGCCCCTTAAAATCTGACCAGGGGACCTTCTCCAATGACACAGAAACATAGAAAATAGGTGCAGGAACAGGCCATTCGGCCCTTCGAGCCTGCACCACCATTCAATACAATCATGGCTGATCATGCAATTTCAGTATCTCACTCCCACTTTCTCTCCATACCCCTTGATCCTTTTAGCCACAAGGGCTACATCCAGCTTCTCTTGAATATATCTAATGAGCTGGTCCCAACAGCTTCCTGTAGGACAGAATTCCACATATTCACAACTCCGAGTGAAGAAATTCTTCCTCATCTCAGCCCTGAATAGCTTACCCCTTATTCTTAGACTGTGACCCCTGGTTCTGGAATTCCCCAACATCGGGAACCTTCTTCCGGCATCTAGCCTGTCCAGTCTCATCAGGGTTCTCTAGGAGATCCCCCCTCTCATTCTTCTAAATTCCAGCGAGTACAAGCCCAGTCGATCCAGCCCAAGCCCAATCAGGGAATGGTAGACATGTTGAATTCTATACAGTACAGGAAGAGGGCAGCATGTTAAATAGCCTTGGAGAGAAGAACTCACAAAATTCGGCAGAAACAAAGTAACTGTAAGGGAGAAATAAATAGTAAGAAGCTGTGATAAACCCCACGGTTTACATGAAGTGGGAGAAAACATTCTAGATGAGCTATTTTGAACAATTCCTATAGACAGAGAGATGAAAGGTTATCATGTCCTTGTTATTATTTGGGAACTTGGATTCAAAACTGGAGGAAAAACAAATTTCAGTTTTCAGTTCTGTGAAAGTGACTTTTATTAAGAAAAGGTCAGAAAGTCATTTGGAACAATGAACTAAAGTCAGCCCTTTCTTTTAAAAAAAACACGCGTGTCTTAAGCCAAATCAATTACCTGGGGAGTTAGTTCCTTAATATTTACAAAGTTGAGTTTTATGATCTACAGACATAGATGGTCAAAGTCAATAGCAATGAGTTCAGCAGAGAAAGGTGACAAATCAGCATAAGATAGGGGCGATTAGTTTATAGAAATCTTCAGGCAACAAGAGTTGGAAAGGGATCTTCAGGCCAACAGAGCTAGAAAGTTGTCTTAAAGCTGTTTCAGCAGTAAAAGGACTCCTCCTATGGAAAGAGTCAGTGAGTAAAGCTGTATTTCAGAGTTTTTGGAACAAACAGAGAAAACTGATGTGGTGAATATGCAGAAAATTAATTGAGCAAACTGTCCTGGAGTTGAATGCCTTTCAAAGATATTGTTGGAAAACTTTCTCTTTTGGATGTTTATGTTAAGATCTTTCTAAGCTGTTATACACATATATAGCTTTTTTACTCATCATTTTATGTAACTAGTTTACATCTTTTGTTAAAAAATACATTGGCAGCCTCATGTGGCTATATTCAGTGACTGACCATCATGTTAACCAAATTAGAAAAATGAACTTTATGACTGGTCAAGCCAGCTTCTTCTCAGATCTCTGATTTGTCCAGTGTCACCATCACTTGGATCATGACAATTCATAGAATCCCTACAGTGTAGATACAGGCTATTCGGCCCATTAAGTCTGTACGTACCCAGCCACTGAACAGCATCTCACCTTATCCTCGTAACTCCACATTTGCCATAGTTAACCCACCTAGCGTGCATATTCGTGAACACTGCAGGGCAACTTAGCATGGCCAATCTATGTAACCTGCAAATCTTTGGACAATTGCCCACCATTCCACCATCTCAGAAATGTGACAGAGGGAAACGAGGAAAGTCAGCCTGTCACACTGGCCATCAGAAAATCACAAGAGTCTATATTTTTTTCTGAAGAAGGGTCTAGGCCTGAAACCTCAGCCATCCTGCTCCTCTGATGCTGCTTGGCCTGCTGTGTTCATCCAGCTCGACATTTTGTTATCTCAGTCTATATTGAGAGATTGAGCAACTTGAAAATGTCTAGCTGGCCAGACAGAACCAGCACGGAGGATAGGTCACGCCTGACAAATGCGACTGAATTTTTCAAAGGGATGGCTAAAGGGAGCAAGAGAATATCTATGAAATATTTATCTGTGGCAAATAGGATTTTAATACAGACAAATGTGTGGTCACCCACTTTGGGCCTAAACAGTACTGGACATTTTTGAAATAATAGAAATTTATGTTCAGATTTGCAGATGGCATTTAATAAAATCCCTCTTTAGAACATGTTAAAGTTGCAGTTCATGAATTAATGAACCTGGTTAGGAAACTGGCTGCACAGCAGGGTGCAGAGCAAATCAGATGGTCAGCTATTCTAACCAGTTAGTGGTGCCCCTCAAGAACATGTGCCGGGGTCTCAATTATTCACTGCATTTAGAACAAAGAACAAAGAAAATTACAGCACAGGAACAGGCCCTTCGGCCCTCCAAGCCAGCGCCGATCCAGATCCTCTATCTAAACCTGTTGCCTATTTTCCAAGGATCTGTATCCCTCTGCTCCCTGCCCATTCATGTATCTGTCTAGATACATCTTAAATGACGCTATCGTGCCCACCTCTACCACCTCCACTGGCAACGTGTTCCAGGCACCCATCACCCTCTGCGTAAAGAACTTTCCACGCATATCTCCCTTAAACTTTTCCCCTCTCACCTTGAAATCGTGACCCCTAGTAATTGAGTCACCCACTCTGGGGAAAAAGCTTCTTGCTATCCACCCTGTCTATGCCTCTCAAGACTTTGTAGACCTCAATCAGGTCCCCCCTCAACCTCCATCTTTCTAATGTAAATAATCCTAATCTACTCAACCTCTCTTCATAGCTAGCGCCCTCCATACCAGGCAACATCCTGGTGAACCTCCTCTGCACCCTCTCCAAAGCATCCACATCCTTTTGGTAATGTGGTGACCAGAACTGTACGCAGTGTTCCAAATGTGGTCAAACCAAAGTCCTATACAACTGTAACATGACCTGCCAACTCTTGTACTCAATACTCCGTCCGATGAATGAAAGCATGCCGTATGCCTTCTTGATCACTCTATCCACCTGCGTTGCCACCTTCAGGGTACGATGGACCTGAACACCCAGATCTCTCTGTGCATCAATTTTCCCCAGGGCTTTTCCATTTACCGTATAGTTCACTCTTGAATTGGATCTTCCAAAATGCATCACCTCGCATTTGCCTGGATTGAACTCCATCTGCCATTTCTCCGCACAACTCTCCAATCTATCTATATTCTGCTGCATTCTCCGACAGTCCCCTTCACTATCTGCTACTCCACCAATCTTAGTGTCATCTGCAAACTTGCTAATCAGACCATCTATACCTTCCTCCAGATCATTTATGTATATCACAAACAACAGTGGTCCCAACACAGATCCGTGTGGAACACCACTGGTCACAGTTCTCCATTTTGAGAAACTCCCTTCCACTACAACTCTCTGTCTCCTGTTGCCCAGCCAGTTCTCTATCCATCTAGCTAGTACACCCTGGACCCCATGCGACTTCACTTTCTCCATCAGCCTACCATGGGGAACCTTATCAAACGCCTTACTGAAGTCCATGTATATGACGTCCACAGCCCTTCCCTCATCTATCAACTTCGTCACTTCCTCAAAGAATTCTATCAAGTTGGTAAGACATGACCTTCCCTGCACCATGCTGTCTATCACTAATAAGCCCATTTTCTTCCAAATGTAAATAGATCCTATCCCTCAGTATCTTCTCCAGCAGCTTTCCCACCACTGACGTCAGGCTCACCGGTCTATAATTACCTGGATTTACTAACAGCTTGGATGATGGGATGGGAAGTCGGATGTCTAAATTTGGTGATGAGACCGTGCAAAGGATGGAAATGGAAATGTGAAATTACAAAGGTATCACTTGTATGAACACAATTGTGACAAATGGATTTTGATGCAGGCAAATGCGTGGTCACCCACTTTGGACCTAAATAGAGCAGGGCACTTTTGAAATGATAGCTAGAAACAAGGGCACATCCAAAGAGACTTGGAGCTTCAGGTAAAATTAAAACATTGCAAATAGGCACTGAAACAAATCAAAAAGGTTCGTGAAATGCTGGTCCTTATAGCCAGACAACAAGAATGCTTTATCTATTCAATATACTGGTGAGACAACATGAGAGAGATCTGAGAGCAAATCTAGGCCTCACAGCAAGATGTGCAGCATAGAATTATCAGAATGATAACTGGAACTCAAATTTTAAACTACAAACAGCATACACACACTGGGCTTCTACTTAAAACAAAATCACTAAGACCTGTCAAATTCTAACAGGACTAGACAGGGTAAATGCCGGCTGTTCCCAATGACCACAGAGTCCAGAACCAAGGGTCACAGTCTAAGAGCAATATGATAGATCATTTAGGACAGAGACGAGAAGAAATTTCTTCATGCAGAGAGGGTAAGCCTGTGGAATTCTCTGGTACAAAAATGTGGTTGAGGTCAAATTATTCAATGTTTTACATTTGATACAGTTCTTAGGGCTAAAGGGATAAAAGAGTATGGGAAGAGTGGGAATAGGGGACTGAGTTGGATGATTAGCCATGATCATATTGAATGGTAGAGCAGGCTCAAGGGCTGAATGGCCTCCTCCCGTTCATATATTCATCTCTTTTTGTTTTAATTTGCTAAGGATTGTGTCCTTTATCCCCCCACATTTCTGCCTCCCTTGGCTCCCTCACACTCAATTGTCCCAGTTTGTTCACATTCTCTCCAGGCTGGCCCAATGAACTGCGCTCTCTGCTGCCCCACCAAACGAGTATTCCTGAGAATCTATCCCAGAGATGATAACTGAGCTCCTACACTTGTAAACTGATTTCTTCCCAATTCCTGGGTTCCGTGTGATCGCTGACGGCTCCCCTGTCGCCGGGAGAATAAAGCTGAGAGTGAGGCTGGGCTCCATCCAAATTGTTGTCAGACTCCAGTCACCCAGCTAGGCCTGACCATGAAGCCTGAGCCTGGAGCCAGAGAGCACTCACCTTCCACAGGATTGTGCAGGATGATTTCAGCTGGGTTGTGCGTAGTACTGGCTGGCTGCAGGAAGGGGGGATACCAGACTGGGGACTCCCTCTGCTTCAGAATGTGATGCAGCAGCTCATAGAGGACGTCTCCTGAGGATGCAGCAAGAAAACTTCAAAAACAACTTGAATTTACGTAGCAGCCTTAAAATAGCAACAACCACCAAGGTGCATCACAAGGACATCAGAAAACAAGACACAGAACCATTTGGTATTACAGCAGAGGGAGGGGGAGAACACAGGTGGTAAGTGATGGGAGAAACCATGGAGGGAAGGGAGGGACAGAGTCCAGAAACACTTGACCATAACAAGCTCAAGCCCCAGCTGAATTCTGGATTGAGCCCTAGTAAGGAGTGGCCAATGAGATAGTGAATGTACTGGTTTTAACATCCCAAAACTCCCTAAATCCTGGAAAGGTCGCAGCAAGTTGGAAATTTTCTCATGTGACACCATTATTCCAGAAAGGAGGGACACAGAGAGCCGGAAACTACAGGCCACGTCTGTCAAAGGGAAAACACTACAATCCGCTCTTCATGAGGTAATAACAGAACATCTCGAAAGTTACAACACACACCAGCAGAATCAACATGTTTGTCATAAACGGAAATCACGTTTGGCTGATTTATTAAGAGTTCTTTCAGGCAGTAAGCAGCAAGGTGGGGAAAGGAGAGCTCTGGATCTAGTGTATTTGGCATTGAACAAGATAACTGCGCCCAATGACAGCTAAGAATCTACAGGACAAATATCAACACGTCTAGATTTTGACTGGTTCACAGCAAGCTGACAGTAGGTATAAAGAGAGCACTTTCAGGCTGGCAAGGAGTGCCACAGGGATCAGTGCAGACACCTCCTCTGTGTTCGCTGACACTGACATGCACATTATACACCATTTTAAATTGTGCATGCACAGGTTTCAGGGGGATGTGGCCTGGGATAGGGAGAAAGATTGGGATGGGGTAGGGGGGACAGGGGGTGTAGACCGATCAGGATGTAGGGCTCGAGGGGCAGTGGCAGAGTGGGCTGGTTGGGAGGGGTGGTGAACGTTGGTGGTTTTGGAGACATCTGAGAGGTGGAGGATGGAAGGGAGACAGAGGACCCTGCACTCCCAACCAGTTTCTGGAGCCTCTTCCTTCTCACTCTGGTGAGGGGCGGTGAGGGGCGGTGGGGGGGGGGGGGGGGGGGGGGGGGGGGGGGGGGGGGGGGGGGGGGGGGGATCAATGACTTGGGGGGGGGGGGGGGGTGGGGTGGGGAGGTGGGGTGGGTTGGGGAGGGAGGTGGGCATTCCCCCTCCTGCTCCCTCTCCCCACCAGTGAAACTCCAGTTCAGATACGCAGGCATTTCCTTGCTGTTGTGACGTTGGGCACACCGTCATGTAAAGTCTAAGTGATGATGTCAATGCTGGGAACTATGCATTCCCCAATGAGCATGCATCACTGCCAATGTCAGCAAACACTCCCTTACAGTTTATATCAATGACTTGGAGGAAGAGAACAAGGATATGGTTACTAAATTTGGTTAGAACACTCAAAGATGTAGATACATTAGGACAGTGGGCAAAAAAAATGGCAGATGAAGTAGAATGTGGGAAAACGTGAATTTGTCAACTTTTCTTTTCCTTTATTCATTAACAGGAGGAGGGCTTCACTGGCTAGGCAACATTTATTACCCATCCCTAATTGCCCAGAGGGCAGTTGAGAGTCAACCACATTGCTGTGGGTCTGGAGTCACATGTAGGCCAGACCAGGGAACGAAGGCAGTTTCTTCCCTAAAGGGCATTAGTGAACCAAATGGGTTTTCCCCAACAATCAACAATGGATTCACGGTCATCATTAGATTCTTAATTCCAGATATTCCATCCAGTTCAAATTCCAACATCTGCCGTGGCGGGATTCAAACATGGGTCCCCAGGATGTTATCTTGGTCTCTCGATTAACAGTCCAGCGATAACACCATAAGGTCATCGCCTCCCCATACTTTTGCAGGAAGAATCAAAAAACAGCTCTGGTGAGATCACATCTGGAGAATTGTGGACAGTACTCAGGGAAGGATACACAGTCATTGTATTAAAAACAGTTCAGACAAGGTTTATAGAACTGCTACCTGGAATGGAAGGGTTAGCTAATGAGGAAAGGTTGTCCAGACTGAACCCTTATCCATTGGAGTTCTAAAGAATGAAAGGTGATCTTACTGAGCCATACAAGATCCTAAGGGGACTTGATGCTATAGATGCTGAAAGGATGGTTCCCCTTGTGGGAGAGGTGAGAATGAGGGTTTCCCATTTCAGATGGGAACATGGGGAGATGTTTCACATTAGGGTCTGCACACAAACCCCAATCAATCATCAGCCCCATCAGCCCACCCACACTCTCTGCCTCAGGGTCCCAGGTAAAGGTTTGTCCCTGTCTCTCACCTCTGTCCTTACCAGCATGACCACCCCACCCCACCCCTCACTTCCCCAACTCAATGTGCTTTCCACCCTCCCACAACTCTGTCCCACTAGCATGTTACCTGAGTGCGGGCACCGATATCGAAAATCCTCTTTGGTCAGCAGACACAGAGCTTTCCCGTTCATCTCAAACATCTCGCTCTCCATTGGCCGCAGAGAGTATTCTTGCTCCGCCCATTTCAGCCACTGTGCCACGTCCAACCGACTCCAGAACATGGGCTGGAGGCCTGGGTCAAAACACAGAGACAGCCTTCAGCCAGACCCAGAATCCCAATTCCCCATAACCTACCTTCAGAAAGGCACAGTGACATCCCATGACCCATCTTCAGAAACATGCCATGACCCTGCCTTCCCATTACCCATCAAACACTTTACCATTCCACACAGACACCCACGATGGGCAGACAGAGGGTGGATGAAAATGATGCCAAGGTTCAGAGAGGACATGGGGAGGAGGATGACGACAGCCGGGGGGGCTAAAGTGGCTGCTGCCTTCGCATGTCAAGGGGGTGGCACCCCAGCAGTCACGGTGAGGGCAGGGTTGGGGTGTACGGGTCAGACGAGACGAGGCGAGGGCAAGGGTCAGTCCGAAGTGGGGGGGTTCAGGGTTGGGAGAGGGTACAAGTTAAGCAGTGCAAGATTGGTGGCAGCAAGGAGTGGGAGGCAGTAAGGGTCAGAAGGGGGTGACATTCAGGTGGAGGGGGGGGTCATGGGAGAGGGTTGGAGAAGGCAGGGGATAGCGAGAGAGGGCAACAGCCAGCATCTTGTTTGCAATATCTCTGGGTCTCAGCCTGGAACGCATAAGCTTCACATACTGGCACCGTCCTGTCTCTAGGGGCCAGATCCAGTGGCAGGGTGGGCAGGCAGTGGAACAGAGGCAAGAGGCGAGAGGCGAGGTGGCCGGGGGAGTGGCAGGGGTAAAAGCGAGAGGCGGTGGGCTGGGGGCAGTGCGACACAGCCGGGGGGCAGTGGGGGATGGGGTACAGAGGCGGCAGGGTGAGGGCACAGTGTGGTGAGGTCTGGGGGACAGAGGAGGGAGGCGATGTGGTTGGGAGACAGAGGCGGGGGCATGGGGACGAGGACAGGGCAGTGTGGGCAGGGCAACAGGGGCAGGGGGACAGAGGCGGTGGGGGGCTGAGGTGGGGGTGTGGGGGTAGGGTGTTGTGGGGGTCAGGGGTCAGTGGTCAGTGGCGAGAGGGGGAAGGGGGGGCAGTGGTGGTGTGTGGCTGATGGAACGTAGTGTCAGGCTGTACAAGATGATTTTATGATCTTTTGAGGATGAAAGGAAGGATTTTCTTTCAATGCCACTATCAAGGTCAGGATCGGCCTAGAGCTTCCTGTCTCCATGTGAAGATTACTTACGGAGGTGATTGGGGAGGGTATAGGTTCCATCCTCCATGCGTCTGCCCTCAGACACAGTGCTGTGAACGGTGCTGCTAAACGCTGGCACTGGGCTAACTGGGGGGGTGTAGGCGTTTCTCTCCTGCTGTAAGAAACAGACATAACCCAACAGCATCAGTTAGCTGGGGCCTTAACCCCTCACTCTCTGCCTGACACGAGTTAGCCAGCTGGGACCATCTACCCCTTCCTCTCTGCCTGTTGCCAATTCGTCCCAACCAACCTCCTCCCTCATCACATAGCACTCCAATTCCAACTCCCACCCCCACCAGAAAATCAACTCCAGTCTATACACACCCCACCATCCACACTTAGCCACCGCCAACCCCTTCCCACTCCCAAAACCCTCACATTCCCAGGACCAGAACAGGTTAAGAATAGATTAATGAACCTGTCGAAGGTGCCAACAGCCATGTCGTGACCAAGTCACACACAGAACACACACAGAGTTATACATCTCCCAAACATTCACGTCAAAAGCAGTACTGGTGGGGACAGGTATGTCACTGTATAACACTGGGGTACAGTACTGGTGGGGTCACGTCTGTCACTGTATAACACTGGGGTACAGTACTGGTGGGGTCAGGTCTGTCACTGTATAACACTGGGATACAGTACTGGTAGGGACAGGTCTGTCCTCCCAACATCTCAAGGAAGTTTTCCTTGTTTGAGCTATGAGTAAGGTACACCAAGAAAGAGCAGTTGTCTGTGGAGGTATATGCAGATCACCCTCAGGGTGGCACTGAGTTTTGATTGAGGGGTTTGTGTGCATTTGCATTGAGCTGAGCACTGGGCTGACAGATGCTGGATGTATAGAGGTGCTGTGTTTTACAGGGTCTGAGCAATAGAATGCTCCCCACCAACCACACTCACAAGAAGATAGCTTCACCAACCCACACTTATAAAACCTCACAGCATACCCGCTGTCACCTGCCTGCCCTCACCAACCATACAATACGTGTACATATTAGGCAACTTAATGAAAGGTGAATGGATTATTTGTTATTGATTTCAATATGTACTGACCATCTCCTGTATTATGGGGGTGACTGGGCAAGTTGGTAGCTGAGGATTGATGGTAGTTTAAATGTACCTCCCTAGACCCCACCCACTAGCCAAAAACACAGAAAAGTGAAACAAGAACCATGTCAACAACAGCTTCATAATCTCATACTGTGCAAGTTCACTCCTCATTATCCAGCATTCTCATCAATTCATAGCAATGACAGTCTCCAGTGCTGGCCACTCCACACAAGTAGTGCGTCATCATTTACCCTCCAGTCAGGAGTCCTGATTTACTAGACCATCCAAATTCCCACAACACTTTTCCCTTGATCTAGCTCTCCAATGTAATTCTTAACTAGACACAGTTTCGGATTCAACCATTAACCCTCCAACTGTACTCCATAGCCTTGCAATTCAATCATCATAGAATCCCTACAGTGTGGAAACAGGACCTTTGGCCCAACCAGTCCACAATGACCCATGGAGCATCCCGCCCAAACCCATCCCCCTATAACCCACCTAATCTACACATCCTTGAACACTATAGGCAATTTAGCATGGCCAATCCACCTAAACTGCACATCTTTGGACTCGGAGGAAACCCACACAGACACAGGGAAAATATGCAAACTCCACACAGAGTCGCCCAAGGCTGGAATCGAACCTGGGTCCCTGGTGCTGTGAGGCAGCAGTGCTAACCACTGAGCCACCATGCCACCCCAAAATCCTCTGACACCTACGTCATAAGAAATAAGAACAGGAGTAGACCATTCAGCCCCTTGAGCCTGCTGATCCAACATTCCTCACATCCATTTGCTTACCTTTTTCCTGTAACCCTCAATTCCCTGCTGATTAAGAATTCTCTCAAAAATCTGCCTCCACAGCTCTCTGTAGCAGGTAGTTCCAAAGACACGCAACCCTCAGCGAAGAAATTTCTTATCTCAGTCTTAAATTGACACCCCTTTATTCTAAGGATGGTGCCTCTGGTCCTAGATTCTCCCATGAGGGGAAACAACCTCTCACGTTTGTGCTAGTTAGTTAGGTAAGCCCACATAGTGGATCTTAAAATAGAGAAGCTCCTGCATAGCTTCAGCAGTTCAAACAGAAGAAAAATACTGCAGATGTAGGGCGTCACAAGTCAAAATAGAAAGTGCTGGAAATACTCACCAGGTCAGGCAGCTTCTGTAGAGAAAGAGAGAGAGTTATTTTTCCGAGTCAGTGAGTATTCGTAGTATTCTCAGTTCACTGGTGTGAGGAATATAAACATGAAGGGAGATGGGTAAGAATTGTTTCTTTATTACATATTGTGGGAGTATTGAAAATTATTAAAAAGACAAGGCAGATTCAAAAGCAGACGGCTCGCAGTAGGCGAGAGTAATGACAAACCTCCAAATGAGTCTGTGTTCACATTTTAAATATCACAGCCTCCAAAGATGCCCAGGGAATAAATCATAGGAGATGAAAGCTGGTCACCTCCTTTTGGTCTTCTATTCTACAGCTCCCACATTAAACCATTAACTTATTTATAAGCCTCTCTTCCCAAGGACAAACCATTTGGAGTTGGATTCTCATTCCCTCTGTGTGTCATGTATAATCACTGCTAGCTTTCTCTCCAAACTCATCAGCTCACACTTGCTGAGACCAATTTGCATTTGACGGAGTTTACATATCAACTGCACCCCCTCCAGCTCAATATTGAAACCATTAAATATTCTGCAGTGATGAGAGGTGAGCCCAGACTAAGCCCTGTGGGACACTATTGACTCCCAACCACTTGGAATAACCATCTCATTTCCTATCCTCCATATCCATCCACACCCCTCCCCCCATCAATTAATGTTCAGTTGCAGATGCTGTAATCTTTTCATTATCATTGAGGTGTAGAATGGCCCAAACTCTATATCTACAACATCGTTGTATCTCCACGTCTCAAATATCTCCACAAGAATTCTCAAGCACAATCATCCTGTTGAATTCACTTGTGGGCCTGGGATAGTGAGCTAGATAATTTTTTTCCATTGGTTCAGCCTATATTGACTCCCACTGCCCTCTTGTGCCAGGTCCTAGTGGCATCTGTGGATAATACAGAAGGCAAATGGAATGTTAGCATTTATTTCAAAGGGAATGGAACATAAAAGTATACAGGGTACTTATCAGGCCACAGCTAGAATACTGTGAACAGTTTTGGGCCCCTCATCTAAGGGAAGATATACTGGCATTGGAGGCAGCCCAGAGCAGGTTCACTAGGTTGATCCCAGGTATGGAGGGGAGGTTGGGTAATTTTGAGTTTAGAAGGATGAGAGAGGACCTTTTTGAAACATAGAAGATTCTTAAGGGGCTTTTGTCAGCATAGATGCAGAAAGGTTGTTGCCCCTTGTGGGAGAGCCTAGGACCAGGCAGCACAATCTTGGAATAAGGAGTCACCCATTGAAGACAGAGATAAAGAAGAATTTCTTCTCTCAAAGGATAGTCATTCTGTGGCATTCTTGACCGCAGAATGATGTCGAAGCTGGGTCATTAAGTATGTTCAAGGATTTTAATCAGCAAGGGAATCAAAGATCATAGTGAAAAGGCAGGAAAGTGGAGTTCAGGATGATCAGATCAGCCATTGAGTGGAGGAGCAGACTCTGCAGGTTGGCACACACTGCCCAACCTCCGGGCTGGCCTGGAAATAAAGTAGCCAAGAGCCAGAGCCAGTGAAACCCTCTCTCAGCAAAAGAACATTGGCTGCTTGGATCAGAACCTCTCGAGTGCAGCACAGGCCCGGGACTGGGTCTGGGTCTGGGGAACCCCCATCACACAAACACACGCTCAAAGCGAGTCCGAGTGGCACCACAAGTAAACAAAGAGTTAAAGGGCTTGTTTTCACTCTGGCTGAGGCCTGTCAGGGACTGGGATGTGTTTCAGAATTAGATCACCGACTCTCACGGAAGTATTTGCCACGATCCGGGAGAAGTGGGAGTGCAGCCCTGCCTCCGAGGCCGGGAAGTTCCTGTATTCCCAGCCTCCATACACTCGCTCCCCGTTTTCCATTGTGAATGCCACCTTCAATGCAGCAACCAGGTAGCGAAGCTTGCAACACTGTGGCGAATTTCCCAACATTGTAGCGAAATCAATACCACTGGGAGTGAAATTCACGTCCAGGTAGTGAAATTCACAACATTGTGGCGAATTTCCCAACATTGTAGCGAAATCAATACCACTGAAGTGAAACTCACGTCCAGGTGGTTAAATTCTCAATAATCTGGCGAATTTCCCAACACTGGAGAGAAATGGACAAAACTTAAGTGAAATTCTGAAAAAAAATGCGAAGCTCCCACACTTTTCGCTATGCTGGTTGCAATAAGGAAGTGGATTAAAAGTCAGGCAAATTTCAACTTCTCTCTCCGACGAATTGGTTTCACGCGGCTTCAAACTTTCTTGTTACCTTGATGTGTCTCTGAGTGAAAGCTTCAGACATGTCTGGCAAGGTCCGCAGATTCACTTCTCCCTGCCTCTCCACCCCCTCTATCCCTGTCTCTCTCTCTCTCTCTGCCTCTGTTCCCGGGAAAGGGAAGCAGCCTCAGACTCTATACGGGAGGAGATTCCGGGAAGGATCGATCAGTCCCGAGCCGGGGGAAATGCTGGTCCAAGCGGCTGCCGGCTGCCGATCTCCCCCGCCTGTGAATCACATCCCGGACCGAGACTCCTTCTTCCGGGAAGGGAAAGCGAAACGTTCCTTGATCTCATGGTTGGTCACAAATCTCCAGCCGACCTTTGACGTGAGTTCCCAGCAGCAACAAGCCGGGGAAAGAGGACAGCAGTCTCTTAAAGGGGAACTGCAACCCGGAAACAGAGCTGCAGCATTGAGGGAGCAGGGAGACAGTACTGCTTTAAAACAGGCCTCAGACACCCAAAGGAAGGTGGGTCTTCAGCATTCATAGGCCTCTCGCACACAGGAAGGCCTCCTGTTCACTCCAGATATGGCTGTCACACTCACAAAGGGACAAAAGCATTCTCTTGGTATTTGCCGATTACACTGGGCAGACGGGCTTCTTATAAAGCAGTTCACAAACCCGGAATAACATGAAATAGGGATAGAGTCTGCAAATGAAGTAACTTCCAGTAACTCCCTCCTGCAGTCACCCCTAACCCCCGCAGAGTCACCTCCTCCTACCCCCCGTGTCAGGGCAACCCCTGACCCCCCCCCCACCCGTACTCCAATTAATTACCCTGAACCCCTCTGGTACTCCAGTTAATTACCCTGAACCCCTCTGGTACTCCGGTTAATTACCCTGAACCCCCTCCTGGTACTCCAGTTAATTACCCTGAACCCCTCTGGTACTCCAGTTAATTACCCTGAAACCCCTCCTGGTACTCCAGTT